ATTCCCTTATCTCAATTGTCTCTACTCATCATTTAATTTTTTTTTTCAGAATTTCCAATGACAATACAGTGGGATCAATTTAATTCATGATCATTTAACTCTTCATCAACATGGATTAATATTTTTTTTAACTAAGAAAGATCTTTTTCTAAAAATGTATGCATTGGTTAGATGAAAGTCATATTGTGGAATAATACAGAGTTTTTCTTACTCTATTCCACCCATTACTTTTTAAATATACAAAGCTAAACTTTCTTTTATTTTTATATAATTTTCAAAAAGAAAAAATCATTCTCATAAGAGTTTGTATCAACACAGGGCATAGTAATAAGTGTAAAACCATATCTTTAAAGTAGGTAAATATCAATAAAGAATTTGCAGATTACATTAAAAATAAAATTTTGAAAGTTGATTCAAATTTGCAACCTAAGTGAAATTAATTCATTTTTTGACTGAAAATACCATAAATCATCACAAACAATAAAAGTCATTCATTTTTTCCATTTGATTAAAAGTTATTGTTTTAATCAAAATTATTTTGAGTGTTATTTGTAAAGATACTTGCTTTTAAAGAGATATATACTGCCTATCCTATCTTCAGAGAGAATCAAGTGAATGTAGTTGTTGAGTCTTTTAGAGTAATTGGTTGGAAACTTTTTGCAAAGTAGAAAAATGTACATGTTAACATTTATGTAACATTTCAATTCCTTGACCTTGCCTACTCATTTCATTCTTACTGTAATTTTATTATATCAGTGTAGCTTGCAAGGGGCAAATTGTTGGAAATACTTTTGGAGCCAATTAGCTATAAATTTTTGATATATTTAGTGACACATAATTCTCTATTAAGAATCAGCTAAATGTTTCTTCAGTGATTAAAGCAACAGATGGTCCTTGAACAAAGTAAAGTAGGTAAGTTTGATTACCCAAACATTCCCAGATATGCATTTCTATATTCAAATAGGAACATAATTTTAATGCTCGAATTTTGAATAACAGACTTTTCAAGAATTTACTGTAAAGAGCAATTTTCCAAATTCACATATTCATCATTTAAGAAATAGGAAGATTGGGCCTCCCTGGTGGTGCAAGGGGTTAAAGCACCGCACTATGAATCAATCTGCAGCCTTGGCAGCATGAGTTCAATACCCGCCCAACCAGGGAGCAACCCACATGGCAAGGCAGACCTCTCGTGTCTCGCCTGCTGCTCCCCTCAGCAGTGTATTTCGTCAGTCTGCCTGTTCTGTTCCCTGCTCTGTCTCTGGTGAATCCTCTCACCTCCCGCATCCCTGGCCTCCACCCCAGCTTTTGTATGCATAAATAAATAAATCCAAAAAAAAAAAAAGAAATGGGAAAATTTACTCATTAATCATCTATATAACTTACATCTCAAAGATCTGTGATGACCAACCCTTTTTCTTTTTTTTTAAGATTTATATATTTTATGCATACAAGAGCTGGGGTACAGGCCAGAGATGCAGGGGGTGAGAGGATTCACCAGAGACAGAGTGGGGAACAGAACAGGCAGACGGATAAAATACACTGCTGAAGGGAGCAGCAGGTGAGACAGGAGAGGTCTGCTGTGCCATGTGAGTTTCTCTCTGGCCGGCTGGCTGGGAATTGAACTCATGCTGCAGAGGCTGCAGACAGCTTCATAGGTTGTGTCTTAATGCTTGCGCCACCAGGGAGGCCCCCGGCCAACCCTTTTTCTTTCATCTTATCTCTTCTGGGTTCATGTCTTGGGTATGATATTAATATATTTTTTAAAAGTACACTATAGAGTATTCCAGCCCCCCTTATTCTCAGGAATATCGTCTTGGAGCCCAGAGTTCCTATTTGTCAGCTAGGGGTAGGGTCATATAGGGGGGCTCTCACCAAGGGTAAAAGTCCGTATGTGAGGAACGTACTGGGAAAACTTGCTGAAAACAACAAGCAGATATTAGAATGAAGATAATGTGCTTTGGCTATTGGGAACAGTGGAGACCCCCAGGCAATAGCCCCTGGTGACTCCACCTTAGCTTACATCTCCAATAACTGTTTCCCCCATTCATGTTCATGCTCTGCATACTTGCCCCACCTTTGTTCCTTATTCAAATAAACATGAGATGACTTTGGATGGGGGCAGCACATTACATCCTATGTAGCCCCTCTAGGCTTTTCATTGCTCTGCATGAACTTTGAGTAATCTCTCCTCCTGCATCAGTCCCAAAGCTACCACCACATATAGCAAAACACTACCTCCTCCAAAATTGCTATTTCTCCTTTTATTTCCTTAATTTCAATGATAGCACATCTCTTTGCTGGCCTTATCAACATTACCTTCATGAATTTTAAAATCAGATCTCTCTGTTTCTCCAGAACAAAGATTAAATCTTCATTACAAGCAATATTTTCTTTCTTTGAAAGATTTCCTTCCTTTTGTATTTCCATTACTCTTCCTTTGCCCTAATTACACTTACCATGCATCTGTTTTACTATCTTGCCAATTTCCCTAGCAAAATCTCTTTAGAAGTTCATTTACTTGTAAAATAGCAAGATCCTCATCTTTTCTGCACAAAACATTGCAATTAATTATAAATTTATTTTTTCTGAAATAAAATCAAAATACTAAAGGAGGATAAATACTAATCAATACTAAAATCAAAATACTAAAGGAGGATAAATAGTCTTCCTAAGAAGGAATTATTATTGTTAATAGCAACCTTGATGATAAAGTTTGCTTCTTTGTAAAAATAGAGTGATATTTCTGCATCTCCTACATCTTCCCCACATGTTGAAATTTATGCTCTACTACTCTGTTGCAAACATGAAGGTCTTCATAAAATTGTAGAGGTGGCATTCAGAGATGGCAAACATAATGGCATATAATATTAATATGTTTAGGAAAAGGCAATGTAAGGAGTACTGTAATACATAGCATGATTTTTTAATTGTATTTCTTTTTGTTAAAGTAATATTGATTTACAATATTGTATATGATTTAGGGGTATAGTTTCACACTTCTTCAGATGTATGTTATCACATCACATACCCTAATCCTCCATAGTCAATTTCTAAGGTTTGTTTGAATTTTTTTTTTAGAGAAATAATTTTTGCATACAAACAAGTGACTGAATTTTTGGTGATTAAAACAAAGTTTTAAAAAATATATCCTTCCATTTGTGAAGATTCTATTATCATAAGATGACAGCATGTTCCATTTAGCAAGAAAAACTTTCAGTCATCATAAGTGATATAACTATAATAAGGGCTAAACAACTACTCGGTTAGATGATTGATTTAGTTTGCTGAACAATTCCTACCATAAAATGTCTCCAATGGGGATTTCTGATGATTTTTAAGCCACGAAATTATGCATTAACTAGAAAAATATTTCACTTTTTTATCATGATTTTAGGCACGACTTCTAATTTATTGGTAAATATGAAGACCTTAATTCTCTTTCTAAATAGTGAATGGAATTGAGATTAAACACAGGATTTTAAATGCATTAAGTTGATGTAAAAAAAAAAAAGGTTTTCCCATACAGTATATTCATCAATATATTAAAAACATGACTTAGAGCTAGAATTAAGCTTAAAATTCTCCTTTTGCTCTGACAGCAATTTGTAGAGATAATCCAGTCCATCAAGCAATAATGTATGATTTATGGCTAAGAAATTAGTCATTTAGAAAAGATCTAGTAATTACCAATGATAATTTAAAAATATATATATTTATGCTAATCCAGAAATAATTGAAGCTGAAAGAAATGAGTAAAAATGCTATATTTGGAATCACTAATATGTGCTATGGAGGATGCATTATGACCTGTTTTCTTGGTGCTAGCTTCTTTTGTTTAAAGATTTGCTCATTTACAATTCAGATGTCTTTAGGGACATCCATTCTTGCTGTTTTTTTCTTTCAGTACTAAAAGTTCTGACTGTAATTCTTAAATAAATTAGCATGCAAATATCCAGGTCGGAGTATAGCACTGCAATGCGGGTTTCCTTTCCACAAAATATTTTTACTTTACATTAAATCAAACAATTTTTTTCATTATATTGCCAGTAAACTTTGTGAAATGATGTTGGAAAGCGTAAATCAGCCAAAGACTATGGGTGAAATATTTTAAATAAATTACTTTCTATTAGTGTTTACTTCTTACCTGGAAATAAATGAATATAACCCTATTTTTTTAACCTTGTCCCCACACACTGCCAACTTTAGAAAAACCTATTTCATGAAATAGTAAAGATTATTAAGGTAAACCAACATTATCAATGCAAATACAAAATGAGAGATTAAAAAATCATTCCAGATCTAAAGTATGTACGGATACAGCACTTATTCCTTGTCTATTCTGAATTCACCAATGGGTAGGTATTTTTAAATAGGATTATCTAATTTAATCTTTGTTATAACCTATAGAGATAGCCATAAATGTTGCCTTTTTACCTTTATGGAAATCTAAGATTAAAAATATTAGTGATATGACAAGGCCACACACTAGCAAGTGATAGATCAAAGATATCAGATTGAATTCTATGACTCCAATTTCTATGTATTTTTTGTCAGTTTCTATTTCCATATTTCTTAGTCCTATTCTCATCTGTTGATTGTGATGTTCTTCCTAGAATGATAGCATGCACTATGTCCACAAATAGTATGAAGAGCATCATTAATGTATTTCTCTTTAAGAGAAGATAATAAATTAACCATCAAGGCAAAGAACTCAAGGTGAATGGTTTCAAAAGTCATTTCATCATTTTGTCGAGTTGAGGGTAGAATTTAAACAATATTCTGATGTCATAAGGCTAAATATATATAGGAAACCATTAGCTTATGTTATATTTGGACAAAGCAGCATTTTCTAGAATTCTTCCAGAGAGTTTCATAACAGGGATATGCAAATAGCTATGAAAGGTTTTGACTAAAATTTCAGTCCCACAAAACTTGCTTTCTATAGGACCCAAAAGCATAACATCCTGGTTTCACTGGAGAGGATTATTTCTAAACAGGTATGCAAGCCTTGGAGGTTAGAGAACCATCTCAGGGGATTGAGAAGCTGCTGGAGCATTTTACATTCAGATGAGGAATTTTCCTTTTTGTCACGGTGGATTGGAGACCATCCCTGGTTGAAACATCATAAGCAGTGCAGTAAGTAAACTCACATTTGGACTGTCCTCTCTTTTATTTGCCAACCACTTTCCCATGTGATCCACGAAATCAGAGGCCTTGAATTCCAGACATGCAAAATGCAAAATGCCAATTTAATAAATGAGACAGACCTTCCCTACCAAGATTTTCTTCAGAAGTGCACTCAGGGAGTCTACAAGTTGCTAAGAATGATAAGTAGTTATGGGCAACTCCTCTGGGCCCCCATCTTGGATTGACTTTATTGGTGCACAAGTTTGTTGGTGGTCTGCCCTACAGTGTGATGAGATTGAACTGCCTTTTTGTGGGATATTCCAATTTTCAGTGTTTCTGACATATTTTTTTCTTGGATTTGATGGTTTTACTGGAGAGAAATCCTCCAATTTCCTGGATATAAGTTATAAAAGTTACTGCCAAAATTTGTTTGAGTCCAGTAAAGAATTGACAGTGGGAATCTTATTGCTTAAAATGGATATTTCACTTAATCCCCCACTATTAGCTTAAGTGCCCCCAATAGCAGGGAGCTTGCTGCAGCAGAGTTTAGATACTCAGAAGTAAATCTTTTCAACTTGTGCTGAGATTTTCAGGGAGGTAATTTTACAGTTGCATGGAGAGGAAAGAGGTGCTGGGAAAAGGCAGGTCAGACTGCTTCTTCTAGAGTCCCATCTGTCATTTTCTTTGATAAGTATTTGTGTCCTTCAGATTTTGACACCTTGGATGATCTAGCTTGCTTTTGTACAGCTTGCTTTTGTATTTCCCAGAAGCTTGTGTTTCAGTGCTGTCTGCTGGATGTTATCAATTAAATCTGCTTACCCTTTCAGAATATTGTTGACATTTGTCTTCTGCTCTGTTCTCATTGGTTGATGATGTGAATATCTCTTATAGTCATGTTTGTTAGGTTTTGGAAGAAAGTGACTATTAACATATATATGGGCCATGATTTAAAAGAAATCACTTCTTATATTATCTAAATGATTATGCTGTGTTCTAAATCTCATTCTCTATGAGATCTTCATACTTCTACTAGAATTTTCCCCCCAATCCTAAAAAGAACTGGCACCATTCCTGTGAGGTCTGAGGGAAGAAGTAGAATCGCAAGGCCCCACTGAGTATGGATATGAATGGAGGGTATGGACTGCAAAGATACCAGGGCTGACTGTACAGTCTATCGCCTCCCTTGGAGAAGGATGTGGGGGCCCAGCTACCAGCTTTTCCTTGTGAGGTGTATGAAATATTTTGTTCCTTCCTTGTCTTGCCATGTATGAGCCAATTATATCTATGTGCCTGATGTTTTTCTGGAACATTTCTGAAATGTTTGTCATTACAAATAAAATTGGATTCTCACTCTCATTTTCTAAGTGATAAGCACCTAATAACACTTAGTATTATTTTATAGCTAAGTTAAAAAAATGAGGAAGTAAAATATCTCCACTTCCAAAATGTATATACCAATAAATACAAGTAAATGATTTTACATAAAAAGATAAAAGCTCAATATCTTTTTCTTTGGTGACAGACTCTATTTCCTCACATATAAAACTTAGATTTTGAACTGCTGTCTGAATCCCATTCATGTTCTTGCTCACCCCACAACACACACATTCCCCACAACAGACAATGCTCATTCTAACAACTGAACTATGATTGTACTTTTCAGATGGTAATTCATTTTGATATTTAATGATGAACACTCAAAACATTTATAGAATATAAGAAAGCCATTTTCTCCATTAAATCTCAATTTTACACAATCATGTTCGGTGCTTCTTAGACACCACCAGGTGGCATCAAAGGCTTGTTTCCTCATCCTGTATCACATCATTCCTCTCAGAAGAGAGCCAGAATCCTGGGAATAATTAGGCATGATTGCTGTTTCATGGGTTTTTTTTGTTTTTTGTTTTTTTCATTAACTCAACAGTTAAGATTTTCTGTTTACTACACTTACTGATATAGGAACACTTTTCTAATATGGGGACACTGTGTCTCCCTCCAAAAAACAAAACCAACCTGCTGTGAAGCTTGTCTACCTTCCTATAAAGAACATGTAGTGTACATCTTTTAAGGATGTGTATAATCATATTCATATTTATTGAAAATTCTGACAGCTGGCAAAGATATTTCTTCTCAGGAATATGTACTTTCCAGGTTTAAATTATCCTAATCAGTTGGAGGTGATAAGGATGTACAGTTTACAGGACAGATTTTAATACCCAGTATTACAAATTCATCACTGTCTTCAATGCTCGTAATGTGGTTTTCACCTCATGTGAATCACTGAACAATACAATATTTAATAGCTTGGTGTGCATCGACTCATTTATGCATTGCACCCTACAGAAAATTGTACTTCATTCTGATATTTTTCTTTTTCTTTTTTTTTTGTTCTGATATTTTTCTACTTCAACCAAAATCTCTCACTTTCATATACCTTCTACTTCCTTTTACAATTTCCCTAAAGTTTGCAGCTAAAAGGCAGGGTTCTTCATAAGAAGCACCAAAATATTAGTCTCAGAATCTCTATGAAAACACATTTAAAGTACGCTCTTTTATGGACAGAAGTAGATTCAGGTCTAAGATTGTCCACGTCAGTTGACGTTATCACCCTGAGCAGAATGTTTGAGAGATTATACCAGGATGGTAAAATTCCTGGGATCTCTAGGAGTGTTTTAGTACAAAAACAGAGTTTTAGACTTTGTAGAAATAGACTTTGATTGATGGCCAGTAGTATATGAAGATGATTAAGTGAAAAAAGATTTGTGATTATTAATCTTGCAATTACTTTTAAGGCTCTTAAAATTACTTTTAAGATTTTAACCAAAGAGCTTTTTCTTCCTTCTTATTCTACATTTATCTTTAACATTAGATGGCATATGTGTATAAATTTATTGTTAAAGGACTGTCAATATTCATCTCCTTGATTACTGGCTATTTAAAACCCTTTCTAGATTGTTTCATTTAACTCTTCCTCAAAATTAATAATGACAATAATATGTATCTGCTTGAGATGGTGAGAAAATAGAATACTCAAAATGCTTTAATCAGTAGACTCAGGCCCTCAAACACCAGAATGTATATTTCCCTGTATTCTCTCACTTATAGAACAAGAATTGTATGGGAATTTTAATGGGGTAATATGTGAAATGAAAATAGAAGTTTAAGAAGAAGACTGAATAATAATGAATAGTGTCTGACTTGAAAAATTTTGGAGATATTTATTATGTATTAATCTTCATATCAAATATCTATAGTATTCAATTCCCATCAAAATGCACTTAAAAATTTCATATCAATATTTACAATATATTAGCAATTACATCACTTACAGCTGCTACTATAATAAAATGTGATAGATGCCAATGTAAAATGTGTGAAGAATTGTTACTGAACATTTTGTTGGAATACACAAATGTTTTCAGAAAACTGTCATCCATGACTTATTTGAGGCTTCTTCTCTGTTCTGCGAACACACTCTAGACAAATTCAATCTTTAGTGGGCCTCCCTGGTGGCGCAGGGGGTTAAGCACCACACTGTGAGGCAATAAATAGCCTCTGCAGCACGAGTTTGATCCCCAGCCGGCCAGGGAGCAACCCACATGGCAAAGCAGACCTCTCCTGCCTTGCCCGCTGCTCCCTTCAGCAGTGTGTTTCAGTTGGTCTGTCTCTTCTATTCCCTACTCTGTCGCTGGTGAATCCTCTCACCCCCCGCATCTCTGCCCTGTATCCCAGCTATTGTATGCATAAATAAATTAATCTTTACAAAATAATTCAATCTTGAGACCTGAATAATCATCGCTCTGCTAATGACTCAGGTCTATGTCCTGAGTTTCTCTATTCATGTCATAATTTATTAGTGCTCACAAATTCTAGGTACTCCTTCAGATTATGATAAATAATTGTAGTAAAATACCCCATTCCTCATTTAATTGCATAATAACTGGGGAAGTAGTCAATAAACAAATAATTTAATACTATATTCCACTGGCCACAGGCCATACACAGTAGTTTAAGAGTTGAAAAGTAGCTAATTTCAATTGATATTTAGACAAAAAGAAAAAGTAAAAGTACCTTATTGAGAATTTTATATGGAAACATTTTTGATATACTAGGTTAGATAAAACTTATATTAAAATTAGTATCCACCATTCTTTTGTTTGTTTGATGGGCGTACTAGAAAAATTTTAATTATATATGTGGTCACATTCTCCTCTATTTGAATATAATATGAACACATCATCTTCGGCATAGAATATTATGTGATACATAATTATTTAAAATTAATGTAGCAGTGCCATTAAGGAAGGTTAGAAATTTTAAATCATAAAAATTTCTATTCTGTTATGAATATAATATGAATATATCATATTGTAAATATAATATGATATGATAAAAATAAGATAAATTCTATAATAATATTATATGAATGTCATGTAGCCATAAGTGCTATTAAGCAAGGATAGTTGAGTCTTATTTTTCAGTTGGTTGGCCAGAAAAGGTGTCTTTAAGGATTTATTATCAAGCAGAGATCTGAAAGACTCGAGAAATGAAACTCCAAGATGGGTCACAGTCCAAGCTGAAAAATAATAGCTGGTACAAATTCCAGAGATAGGTTCATAGATGTACTAGTATGACGTGAAGATAGATTTTGGGAAACCTGTTACTCATTTAATCAATTGCTATTATAACTTGCTAGCAAAGATTCTGGTGATTTTTAGCCATTAATTTAAGCTTTCTGCTTCACTAACAAGTTATGGATCCCACTCTCCACACCTATTTTCTTCAATCCAGAAATATGTCACAATTCCTTTACTCTTTCATATTCCATCAATTACAAATTTACTTATTGATTTCCTGTCTTTCAAATGTCACTCTTCACTGAAGAGTGTCTCTTTTCCTACCTCCACATCTTGATTCTTGTCATCAACATTTTGTACCTTGGGTTGTGATCATATTCTCTCTTTTTTCAAATTTTATTTTATATAATTTTACATCATTTTTCATTTTTGCACAATGTATGCATTTTCATCTTGGTTATAGTCCCCATACAATTCCCACCCCCCTTGTTTTGACCATAATCCCTCCTACACCTCCCCCCATAGTGTGTCTCTGGTTTAATAGATGACTGGATCAAGAAGATGTGGTACATATACACAATGGAATATTACTCAGCAATCAAAAAAGATAAATTCATGGAATTTGCAGCAACATGGATTGAGCTGAAAGGGATCATGCTCAGCGAAATAAACCAGAAAGAAAAAGAAAAATACTGAATGGTCTCACTCATAGCAGGAATTTAGAAAATCTAAATAAGGGACTAGGAAAAAGACTAATTATAATAAAGTAAAAAGCAATCATATTCTCTTAACAGGTCTACAAGCTTCAAATTTTGCCCACCTCTTAGAAATTTAGAGAGACCCAGGTAACACCAAGTTATGTTACAGTAAGAATCCCAGCTCCTAGTAGCTTATAGCAAAGGTTTATTCTTGCTCATATTCTTCTCCTTCATAAGTCAGTGGGCCTTTGCTTTGTATATTCTTCATTTAAGCCCCAAGCAAGTCATTGTCATTCTATCTGGGACTAAGGGAAAAAAAAATGTACATTGAACAATGGTGTGACTCTTGTAGCTTCTGCTTGGAAGCAACACATTCACTGTCCTTTTCAGGTTAATTGGCCAAATCTAATGTCATTGCACATGAAGTAAAATCCACCAGGGTTGCAAATATTTTAAAATAAAATGATCTTCAAAAATCCCACTTCCATGTCTCTGAAATTAATTCATAATATTTCTAAAATATGCTGTAATTCCATCTTTTTGTCATTTCTCCCCTCTCTTGGTACTTCCAGCCCATTCTCTTTGATTGAAGGCTGGAAATTTCTCCAGGAAAAATGCTATTAAAATATTCCATTACCCCCTCTATCCTGAGGATATTCTGGAGCCCATCTATGTGTTTCCATAGCACAAATGCTTCCACTTTTAAAGTACTTACCATATTTTAAAAACAATTGTTCTTCTTTTTGCTTTAAAGAGCCAGATGCTAAATGTATTAGGTTTTGTAGGCCAGACAGTTATTGTAGCAACTATTCATCTTTGCTGTTTTAGGATCAAAGCAGCCATACACAACATGGAAATGAATGAGTGTGGTCCAATCAATCATTTCTTCACCAAAAGAGATGGTAAGCAAAATTTGGTCTTTCTCTTTTCAATTTTCTGCTTCTTTATGTTTAAAAATGAAAATAAAACCTAAAAATGTTTGGGACTCAGATACAATGAATTCAGCATAATCACCAGGCATATAAAGATCCATCTATGTTGTTAACATGGATTCCTAGAATTATAGCACTAATTTTAATCTATCTGTGGGGCAGGGGAGAAGAATATTGTATTACTTATTTAATTATTATGCTCATATCAGTATACTAAAGAATGTGAAGGAAATACTACTTCTATTTAAATAACAAGACAGAAAATTATAAAAACAGTATTCCTAATTCAATATTCTTCCTCAAATGAATGCTGTTGGCTGAACAACATAGAAGTTAGTTAAAAATAAACAAAACAATCTTGTTTGCTAAAAGCTACTTAGTGACTTTTAAGTAACAAATCACAATTGCTCCAAAGCAGATGGTTAAGATCCTGTTACATTCTTAGGCAAAGATATTTCTATATGATCTATGTATCTAAAAATTATAGTAAGTTATGAGATGTAAGAGCTTATGCAGTTCACTTTCACTATTAAAAGCTCTTTTGTTGTTCCCACATGATTGTGATTTTCCGTAATTCCACAGTGATAAAGCATTTGAGTTTAGCCTCATTGCCATTGTTTATTGGTGATTTCCTGTTCCATGACTTTAATATCTTTTAAATACATAGTTGAAAATAGTATAAAATAATACTTCTAAGACTGTGGGGACAAATATATGTCAATACTATTATAATAGAAATATCTGAAGTGCTATTTCTTATAAGTATTAAGATCTTTATTATATAATAAGTGAATTCAAATATATTGCTATATTCTTGTGAATGAATCCCCTTATTAATTTATTGTTTTCTTGGGGTCTTTTGTTTGTTTGTTTTGATTATAAAATAAATATATATTATTGATGCCACTAAACACCACTGAAAACACACCAGAGGGAAACAAGTATACTGCTTGTGTAGGTTGAGTTCACTGCATCTAGGTTGAGTTCACTACAACTATAATGGAGATAAGAAATAAAAATTCCCAAGGTCAAGGAAAAGTCTTCTTTCCCTCTCCCAAGTAGATGCAGAGGAAGTCACCCATAAATAAACCTGGGGATGTGCCACTTCTGCTTTGACACACTCTCTTTCCCCTGATCAGTATATGTTGCTCAAGCAGTCACTAGATTCAACCATTATTTTTGCAAAATTACATTAACATATTAAAAAACATTGAATATTGGTGCTAAACAACCAACTTTATATCTAAATAATATTGCATAACATTTTCCAAATAGTTCTCATAGACTTATTTCCTTGACAGAGAAGAATCCACTATTATGAATGGATTTCTGAACACAAGTCTGTAACAAAGACATTTGTTAAATTTCTAATGAACAAAGAAACCATTTATAGTCTCCAAAATGGAGAATTATTCACATATACCCTAATCATCACAAAGGCAAATGATTTCTTTTCCTTCATTTTGGTGTTTGTTTATGGAGAGGATTACATGAATATTGAATAATGTGATACTCTTGAAATCAAACAAAACCAAATGTAATTTAAAAAAGAATGTATTGTTTTGATCTGAAATATTTCTTTCCCAGTGAGTTGTCTTAAGTGAAACAAACCATAGCTGCTATTAACTTAAGATCAGAAGTTCTCCAAAATAAAAACAAAGTCAGGGAGTTTGTTATTGTGGGCTTTTTCTTGGTGAAAATTTTGTGCCCTTCCTCATGTATATGTTTTTGAAATAATAGTTCTAAATCCCTTAATATCAAAGATCTACAAAGTGATTGCAGAAATCAACAAAAACAAATTGAACAACCCTATCAAAAAACAGGCAGAAGTGATAAAAAGGCCACTTCTCCAAATGAGAAATATGAATGGCCAACAGGCATATGAAAAAATGTTTATCACCACTTATTATCAAGGAAATGCAAACCAAAACCACAATGAGATGTCACCTCATGCCTGTGAGAATGGATCATATTAAAAACAAAAACAAAAACAAAAACAAAAACACAGAAACAAAAAGTGCTTGCAAGCACGTGGAGAAAAAGGAACCCTCTTAAACTGTTGGTGGGAAACTGGTCCAGCCACTATGGAAAACTGCGTGGAGGTTCCTCAAAACACTTGAAATGGATCCACCATACAACCCAGCTTTTCCACTTCCAGGAATCTATCAAAGAACATAAAAACACTAATTTGAGAGGAAACCTGAGCTCCTATATTTATTGTAGCACTATTTACAATGGCTAAGATATGAAAACAACTAAATGCCCCAAAACAGATGACTGGAACATGAAGACATGGTATATATACATGATGGAATACTACTCAGTAATCTAAAAAAAAAAAAAAAATAAGCTCATGTCATTTGTGGCAACATAGCAGGAGCTGGAAGGATTATGCTAAGCAAAACAAGTCAAAGGGTCAAACAACGATAATCCTTGAAAGCTGACAATAGATATGAGGCATCCTTGAAGGTAGGGAAAGAAAGACAGGCGGGGAGGGGTGAAAACTGGAGAAGAGAGAGGAAGAACACAAAAGGGCATGCTGGCCTGTGAGTGTTTTGGGGGTGGGAGAACTATGGCGACCACACCTGAGGGGAGAAATCATGTATAATCCACAAATTAAATAAAAATAAGTAAATTATACATAATAAATAAATAAATGGGAATAAAAGCCTTGGTTAATAGATTTTGGGAGATCCACGTGTACTGATGGATGGGCTCAGAAAAGCAGGCAAACACTAAGGTGATTGAAAGAAAGATCTGATAATAACCTCCAGGATTTGATTTCAGTAATTACTGGGAAGGGCCTCCCCGGTGGTGCAGCAGTTGAGCGCTAGGCTGTGAAGTTGCCCGCAGCCTCTGCAGCGCCGGTTCCATCCCCGGCTGCTGGTGAGGCTCCCACAAGGTGCGCAGACCTCTCCTGTTGCCCGCTGCTCCCCTCAGCAATGTACTTCATCAGTCTGCCTGTTCTGCTCCCCGCTCTGGCTCTGGTGAGTCCTCTCACCCTCCCACATTTCTGATTGTACCCACTGCTTGTATAAATAAATAAATAAATAAATCTTTTAAAAAATAAATAAATAAATAAATAAATAAATGCTGTGATGGTGCAAACCAATGGTATATTGTTTCTTCATCCAACCAATCAGTAAGAACTTCTTCTGCCCCTCTTGTGTTCCTGAGAGGAGAATCTGATAATAACCAGTATAATCTGATTTTAGCAATTGGATAATTATTATGGCTGTAACAGCATAAAGCAGTGAAATATTGACCCTTCATCTATCTAATTAGTAAATATTTTTCCATCCCCTTCTGTGCTCCTGTGGCCCTTTCTGTGTGCCTTGTGATTGTGGAAATTCCATTATAATGTCACACCTTTTTATAAACGAGTGAATAAAACATTCTTGTAGTGAATGGGGCACATAACCTAGTAATAGATAGTGAATTTGTTTTAAATTATTAGAAGCAACTCCACATACACATTCCTTTGAATCTTTGCTTTTAAGGTTTATTACTCTCTCACCCTAAATCACTTACATTTTAACCTCATTCCTAGAAGACCACACCAATACAACCAATGACTTTCTGATTTCACTTCCGTCTCAAATTAGTGACATGCCACAATCATAACTTTAGTCTTTCCCCATTACCAAATTCCCTTGATCTGTAGTCACACCCTGCCTTGTCAACCTAAAATCTTTTTACTTCTAGTATATTTAAAATGGTGGGTTTTAAGTAAGCTAGATCCATAATCTGGGTGGACCTCAAATCAGTTGAAGGCTTCAATAAAACAAAAACAGGACTAACGTAAGCAAGAAGGAATTCTACTGGTGGATGACATTCAGGCTTGAAATACAGCCCAGCTCTTCCCTAAATTGAGATTCAAAATATTCTCATTGAACAGAACTTGTTCTAAACTTATCAGTTACTTTTGGACTTCTGCAAGGAGTATGTAAAGTCAAAATAAAAATATATATCAAATAAAAAGAAAAACATCATGATAGGTATCAAAATTTTATATATGACATAAAAGACAGCTTTGAAGAAAGTCATAGGCAACATTATGCAAAAGTTTAAATAATACAGCTTTATTGAAAATGATAGATTTTTTAGAAATAATACCAAGCATGGATATTTACTGATAGAACTCATTAATAAAATGATTAATATATGAATATTTACTATTAATAATTTTCTAATTTTGCAATTTTTAAATGTTGGAATCATCACAGTAAAGTTTTTTTCAGAATTCCCTTGACTTCAAAAAATGTTACTAATTTTCAAAAGACATTTTTGAAAATAATTGTGAATGTACAAATATAGCATAAATATAAAATAACAAAAAATCACCTGAAATATATTAAAATTTATATTACTTGAGCCCTTCGCTTTTCTCTTGATAATCCTTTCTTGAATATAAATGTGTTCACACAAGCCTGATAAACCACGGATTTTATTTGGATTTATTGGATTTGGGAATTGGGACTACTTCTATAGGTTGTTTCTTCTTTCTTCCATCCCCATGGAGTAGAAGTATCATAGTTCACGATATTAGTACTGCAGAGGTTGTTAAGGTTCAAAATCCTCAGTTTACAGAGAACTGGAGGTATAAAAAAGCAAGTGAATTTTTAAGGTAAGAGATTTCAATTGTCAGACTGGTACATAGAAATTAGGACTGTATTCTCTATTTGCCTTTTATTCTGAATGTTTTAAATTTATCATGATTGTTGTTGTTATTGTAAAGTAAATGCATTTAGTATAAAATGCAAAAGAGGATGTTGAAAGCAAAAACATATCTGTTCTCTAGACTTGGATCTACTTTCCAGATGTAAATATTGCATGGATCTTATTTTAATATACATTCTTTTAACCAAAAGGGAAATGAATGTAATTTTTCAATACCTTCTAGAAAATCAGTTTTCTTTTGCTTAGCCCAGATAAATCATTCTGGTTGTGGGAAGCTTAGCTCCATCAGG